GCCCCGGCGAGGAGCTGGGCCCTGCGGGGGCCTGGCGCCAGCCCTCCCAGCCCCTCTCTCGGCAGGGATGCGCCCCTTGCACTACGCTGCCTGGCAGGGGCGAGTGGAGCCGGTGCGCGTGCTGCTGCGGGCCTCCGCCTCGGTCAACATGGCCTCGCTGGACGGGCAGATCCCGCTGCACCTCTCTGCGCAGTACGGCCACTACGAGGTGGTAAGTGAGACCTGGCACCCCGTGCGACTCCGACTGAATCTCTTCGGGGTCTGTGCTGTGGGTCGAGGTCAAACCCCTTCAGCTGGGAGGGAGGCAGGATGGAGGAGGCCAGCTGCTGAGCCCGGGCCTGCGTTGCTCCCCCGCAGTCGGAGATGCTGCTCCAGCACCAGTCCAACCCCTGCCTCGTCAACAAGGCAAAGAAAACCCCCTTGGACCTGGCCTGCGAGTTTGGGCGGCTGAAGGTGAGCACTGCGACCCCGGTGGGGCCAGGCGGGGTCTGTACCTGCACCCGCCGTTTCTCCGAGGCAGTCCCAGCGGGAGCAAGGCACCACTCCAGCAGGAGCAGGCATCTCACGCTGGGCCCAGCCATGGCTGCTTTCCTGGGCCCTGATGCCTTGCTGGCAGCTTCTGCCTCCTCCTGTGGCTGGGGAGGCCGGATCCGACCCCGCGAGCTGCAGGGTTTGCTCCCGACCTCGCCGCAGGGCAGCGACAGGCCAGGCGAGAATCCAAGAGCCCTTGCTCCCGGTTCCCCACAGCTTCTCCCTCTCTCTTTGCTCCTGTTTAAGCACAGATAGGCTGAACTCACTAATCCCTGAAAGCCCTGTGCGCCCGGCTTGGCTCAGCTGCTTGAGATCCCCGTCTCGGCCGGGGGGATGGGGCTCGCTGCGTTCGTGGGGGACGGGCCTCCCTGTGCCCGGGGAGACCCCGGTTGACGTAGCATAGCGCTGCAAGGCTGCGATGGAGCGTGGCCAGGCAGACTGTCCCATGCCCCATCAGGGAGGGGACCATGGGGATATTTCCATTTCTGGAGTATCTATATCTGCAGCTATAAACAGGGCAGTAAAAATAACTCCTCTGTGCCTCTGGGCTGCCCCAAGATGCTCACTGTCACTCTGGGCTTGGAGAGACCAGAGCTTTTTAGGGCTTGGTCTGAAAAGCCCAATTATGGGAAGACTATTCCTGGCTGCCATGACCTTTGGTAGCCCCTGCCCCACTGCCTTGTGACAGCACGGCCCCCACCAAGTGCCGTCCGTGTCCAGCCAAGCCCTGGGGCTGCAGGGCAGACAGGTCAGATGGGACAGGGAGCACAGGGCAGGCCCTGAAAGCGGCATGGCAAACTGTGTGTGAGCCCCTCGCCAGGGAAGCTGCAGGCGGTGGGGCTTGCGCACCGTTTCTCACCCGTTGCCCCCTCACAGGTGGCTCAGTTGCTGCTGAACAGCCACCTATGCGTCGCCCTCCTGGAGGGCCAGTCCAAGGACGCGACTGACCCCAACTACACCACCCCACTGCACCTCGCGGCCAAGAACGGGCACAAGGAGATCATCAGGTAACCACCCTCGCTGCTGTCCCTGGCCCCAGGTGCTGCCCGATCCCCAGGCGCTTTCATGAGACTTCAGTCCTGCTTTTTTCTGAACCCGCTTTCCCTCTATGGGGTTTGATCCCTCATCCCCAAAGCCTCAGCAGTGCAGAAGGGTTCCCCTAGCCCTGCTGGCCACATCCCCTGGTTCACACCTCCCTCCGGGGCTCTGTCCCTTTCCCTCCTTCCCACTAGGCAGCTGCTGAAAGCCGGGATTGAGATCAACAAGCAGACAAAGACGGGCACAGCCCTGCATGAGGCCGCGCTCTACGGCAAGACTGAGGTAGTGCGCTTGTTGCTGGAGGTGAGTGCGCAGGGACGCGAGCAGGGAGTCAGCACCAGGCTCTCCCCCATCGCTGCATCACCCAGGCCCTTTCCAGCACCCCCTTCCATTCCCCGTGGCTCGGTCGCTCTGTCCCTAAGGCTCCGCGGGTGCTGGCTGGCACTCGTCCCAGCTGATGCCAGTTGCAGCGCTGCGACAGAGCCGCCGCTGTCCCACGGGAGCATTCGCCCCATGGCCTGGCATGAACCGCATCTCCTCCTGGGCAGGGCGGCGTCGACGTGAACATCAGGAACACCTACAACCAGACAGCCCTGGACATCGTGAACCAGTTCACCACCTCGCACGCCAGCAAGGATATCAAGCAGCTGCTGAGAGGTGAGATGGGGATGGCTTGCCCTGGGGCCTCACCTGGCGTCACAAGCAGGATCCCGATGGGACCTGCCTGGTGCTCCTCCTGTGTGGCCCTAAACTAGCCTGGCTCTGAGTAGGAGCATTGCCACCCCTTGTGCACACTCCCATCCTCCCCATGGGCTTCAGTGTGGAGGGATCCTCGGAGATCGAGTCCTTCCTGCTGTATTAATGGTCTCTTCTCCTCTCTCCATGCTTGTTTTCTCCCTCTGCCTTTCCTAAACTGTTCTCTTGCTCCCCTGCTCTCTGCCACCTTCTTTCTTCCCTCTGTCCCTTGTCTTCAGAGGCATCAGGAATCCTGAAGGTTCGAGCTTTAAAGGATTTTTGGAACCTCCATGACCCGACTGCTCTCAACGTCCGGGCAGGTGATATCATCACGGTAAGGGCCTGTGGGTGCCTACTCTGCACCTCTCCCCCTGCCTCGCGTCCCCCACCCTGGGGTGCCAACCCCCTCCCTCTTGCCCCTGCCGCAGGTCCTGGAGCAGCACCCAGACGGGCGGTGGAAGGGACATATCCATGATGCTCAGAAAGGCACCGATCGGGTCGGATACTTCCCCCCCTCCATTGCCGAAGTCATCAGCAAGCGCACAGGTCAGCGCTCGTCCTGGGCATGCTGGGAACAGTCCCCGCTGTAAAACCATCCCGTCCTTCCTGGTGCTACCCATAGGACAGGTCCCCACAGCCCTGGCTAGCTAGGGTGGGTAAGAGAAGGACACAGGGTGGGAATGGGGGTTCATGTGATCGAGGGGTTAGAAATGTGGGCTTTGAGGATCATACCGGTAGGCAGGAGGAATCTGCTCAGTGCCAAGGCTGTGCAGCAACCCAGGCCAGGGTGGCCCAGTGCCAAGGTGGCAGCCACGGCAGGGAGGCCAGGCGAGCTTGCAGAGCCGAGCAGCCCGGGGGCCCCCTCCCCCTTGGGCCCGTCCCTGCATCCCAGTGGCTGGAGAGGCTGCAGGGCCGGTGCTCAGCCAGGAAGCAGCCTGCCATGCCCAGGCCGGTGGCTGCGCCTGCCTGGGTGAGCGGAGCCGGGGTCCTGCAGCTTCCCCCTCACTGCCTCCCGCAGGTGCTCTGACCACGCGTGTTTTGTCTTTGAATGCAGGCATGATTCTCCCCCGCCTGGCGCCCGCACACCAGCACCAGGGCCCCCCCGGGGCCCTCACTGCCCCCCCCAGCAGGCTGCAGCACCTCCCCGACGAGTGTCCACACCAGACAGCCCCGAGCGTCCCAGCAGCCTATGGCCACCTCACCCTAACCCGGATGGTCCCGGGCCCTGACAGCTCAGGTCAGGGGTGCTGCTGGGGAGGGAGACGGGCTGGGGACCTTCCCCTCTCCTCCAGCCCTGCCGCGCAGGGGAAGACTCCCCTTCCAGCTCGCAGTAGAGAAACAGCCAGATGAGAGGGGCCCAGCCACAGGGAAATGGAGTTTAGGGGAGCCCATAGAGCAGCCCCCCTCCCTCCCTGTGTCCTCAGCCCAGCTGAATCCCCACATCCCCTCCATGCACCCCTGCCAGTCCAGGTTGCCCCGTCCATGCCGCGTGTGCTGAGAGGTGGGAGGCACCGAGGGATCGCCTGAGGCTGGAGGGCGCTCGTGTGAGGCTGGTCTTTACCGGCATCCCCGAGTTGGCCGACTCTGGGCCTGTTCCAGTGCAGGCGACCAAGGCCACAGCCACGTGGCGAAGCAGTAGGGTCCTTGCTGGGGAGCTTTGTGCCTTGTGTCAGCCCCAGTCCGGGGGCGTGCACGGGTGCTGGTGGGCCCAAGTGGCTGACATGCCCTGCTTCTGCCCCAAACAGCAGGAGACAGGAACAGCGTGGGCAGCGAGGGCAGCATCTGCAGCATCTGCAGCGCCGGCAGTGGCCAGAGCACCGAGGGCACCAACGGGCAGAGCACCACCATCCTCATTGAGAACGCCAGGGTAGGTGCCAGCCCCCGGCTCTCCCCCTTCCTGCTCCCCCAGTTCAGCCCCATGGCTGGTTGAGACTGGTGATAGGATCTTGCCTATAATCCCCTTCCTCTCCCAGCAAAGGAGTTGGCTGCAGGAGCATCCCCCACCAAACACGTCTTCGCTGCAGGGACTGGGTGGGAGCAGCTCCCAGGGAACACAACCCTGCTAAAGGGCAGCCAGGTCCCTGCATGGAGACCCCAGCTGCCCCTGCCAGCCCTTTCAAGTGGGGTTGGAGACCATGGATTGTACCCCATAATGCCTCTACCCTGTCCTATGTCACCTGAGAGGATAAACAGGGCCCTGGGCGATATCCTGCCCAGATCTCTTGATCGGTACTGGGGCTTAAAGCCATGCCCAGCATGGAGACCTCCCCTCCTCACTCTCAGGGGTGGGTGCAAGGCAGACCTTGGCATTTCCTGTAATCCCTCCTCCGCTCACCTTTTCTCTCCCCCAGCCGCTGCCCTCCGCCGGCGATGACCTCCAGCAGCACCTTTTGGGATCAGAGCCGCGCAACGGGCAGCTGAACTCCTCGGCAGGTGAGGGAAGTCCCACTGCCACGGGGCTGGGGGACACACGCCCTCAGCCAGCATAGGGCCCTGGCAGGCTGAGTGTGGTGCAGCTAGCCCTTGCTGCCACCCTCCCGCTCTGACGCTCCCCTCTCCCCTCTGCCCAGGGCCCCTGGGCCACCAGACCCCCGGCAGCTGCCCCCCTGGAGACAAGGTCTTCTCCCAGCAGTTCCTGCGTCCTGAGCAGCTCCTTGAGGGGAAGGTAACTGAGCCAGTGAGGATGTGGTTGGGAAAGGGATGTTTCTCCCAGCAGGACCTAGTGTGTGGGGTAGGAGAGGCCATCCTGCTGTGTTTGGGGCTCTAAGCCCAGCTCTTGCTGCACTGGGAACGTGGGGGACTGGCACTTGGTGATGATGGGGACAAGTGGGTCTTGCACAAGGAGGACCTGTCATCTTGCACAGAGCAGCCAGGTCCTTCCAGCCCCTGCAGCTACCGTCACGGGCAGCTCTTTGCTCCATCCTCTCTGCAGGATGCAGAAGCCATTTACAACTGGCTGCGTGAGTTCCAGCTGGAGTCGTACACTGCCAACTTCCTCAATGCCGGCTACGATGTCCCCACCATCAGCCGCATGACCCCAGAGGTAAGGGAGGTCCTTCCCACTGAGCCCAGGACAGCCCTTGGCCCTGCGAGCAGTACCCCACTGCCTTGCACCTGCATTGCTGCTGCTAACCACAGATCCACTCTGTTTGTGCTAGGATCTGACAGCCATCGGCGTAACCAAACCAGGGCACAGGAAGAAGATCTCCACCGAGATTGGACAGCTCAGCATCGCTGAGTGGCTGCCCAACTACATCCCGGTGAGTGCCTGGACCCTGGCGCTTTGGTGCAGCACCCTCTTCTCCCCAAGTCTTTTCTCAGAGCTACCCTCCCCTGGGACAGGACAGAATGGGAGTCTGTAAGTAAACAGCTCAGTGCACGCTGCAACGGCCTGCTTTAACGCAGCCAGAGAGACCCCGAGAAAAAGGCAGAAAAAGTCTCCCAGCCAAGGGCAGGGAGAGGGTGGATAAAGGCGCGACCCCTCCCTGGGTGCTCACGGTAGCGTCTCCGTGCTCTTTGCAGGCTGACCTGATGGACTGGCTCAGTGCCATAGGGCTGCCCCAGTACCACAAAAAGCTGGTGAACAACGGTTATGACTCCATCACGATCGTGACGGACCTGACCTGGGAAGATCTGCAAGAGATCGGCATCAACAAGCTGGGTGAGTGGCTGGCAGGAGTGTCCATGACATGGAGCCAGAGTGGCCCCGGGTGGCCGAGTTTCCTGGCAAGGTGTCCCAATGCCCACGCCTCCCTCGGGCTGGGAGGTGCATGGCACGTCCTGCACACCCAAAATGGGTAGTTCATGGTCATTCCCAAAGACTCCCCATGGCAGGCTGGAGCCTGGCCGAGCCTGGTACCAGCCAGTGCCATGTGGACATCAGCAGTAGTTTGTCTCCTCCTGGAGGCAGGGTTCGGGTTGGCCTTTGCCCTGGTTGGTGATGTGACCACAGCTCTTCTAAGCCAGGAATCAAAGGCCTTGGAGGGCCAGAGCTGACCTAATGTCCCCCTCCTGTCACAACCTTCCCACAGGCCACCAGAAGAAGATTATGTTGGCCGTCAAGAAGCTCAGAGACCTCCGCAAAAGCCTGAACCAAGCAGAAGCGACGCTGGCAAGACGCAAAGTCCCCGGTGCCCTGGACATCGTCACCATCGAGTCACTGGAGAATGGGGAGTGCCAGTCCCCACACACCCCCAAGATGACGACGTTCCAGGACAGCGAGCTCAGCTATGAGCTCCAGACAGCCATGTCCAACAGTTGCCACGAGACGCTCAGCATCAAGAGCAGCCAGGGGATGTCACGGAGCCAGGAGAGCATCGGGGTGCGGTCCAGGGGTTCGGGGCACTCGCAGGACAATGTGCTGTCCCGGCGCCTCTCCAGCCCCTCACAGGAGAGCCTGGGCAGCGGGGAGAGCAGCGGCAGCAGCGGGCAGTCCTGCACGCAGCCCCACAGCAAGGAGAGCCCAGCCAGCCTGCCGGGACGGCCCAGCCCCGAGCCCTACGGGAAGCTCGCCTCCCCGGAGGCGC